CCATTATTTAAATTACTAATTTTTCTTTTACGCAACATATTTAAAATTTAAATTAACGATATAATTAAATTTGTCAATACATACGTTATACCCGAAATATGTTGTTGTCATGCGTTTATGTTTATTTATATAGAGAAAAAAAGTGGTTCCAGTTTACACCCTTATGGGACTATGTAATGATCCTTTCCGCTCAGATATTTAAGATTTTAAACGACTTTTTGCTACTAAAGGATCAGCATGTGGCAAGGTAATCTCATCTTGTTAATTAGGAAAGTAAGATTTCAAAGAAAATGAAACGAAATGTCCCACAAGTGAAATTGAACACGATCATGAATATAAGAATATGAAAGATGAATTTCGGCAGAATTTTTTCTCGCTCTTGAACGTTAATAGGTTATGAGATCACAACTAGCTACAAACCTAACTTTTAAAGTGTTATAGGTTTGGATAAAGCACAGAAAGATAATTTTGACAAGTAAAATCTTACATTTCTACTGATATTTGTATAGAGCAAGTATATTCAGCGGGTGTTACATATTCCTCACGTTCGTTTGATAATGAGTGATCGATTTCCGGCGTGCGCGAGCAAACCGCGAGATGTATCGAACCCGCGAACTTTCTCCTCAGGCTTAAGATAGATGAGTGCGGAGGCTTTGTGGCTCGTGATGAGGGACGATTCGTCACAGGGCTGATACATTTCAAACAAAATGTAGAAGCCCTACAAAAAATTTATTGTGGTCATAGACTTCAAAAAAGGTAGTTCCCAATTCAGTTGTATTTTCATTTATGTAACCTAATCATTTTTTACTGGATGTATATTGATTTCAATGATTTTCATTTTCATTAAGTATATTAGTATATAAAATATACTAGAATTTATCCTATTGAAATTTTATCAAAATCACTTCAGTAGTTTTGATCTTATATCGAAACAACGAATAAGAAAGACTAAGTGAACGAGTTTGTCATAAAGTAATTATGACTGTTGTCGCTAAATAATTAGTTATTTTTACATAACTTCAATCAAACATTAAAAGTTACGCCAAGGAATAAATCTAAGATAAAATCGGATAGGAGAGAATTTATATATATTAAAAGTTTTACACTGAAACACAATTAGGTATTGCAACATCTATGAATGCGTATTCTTACGCATTGTGTCAATAAAATATTTGACGTAAATGACAGTAAGTTTATAAAGGTGCAAGGTTGTATAATTTTCTTATCCACTCTGGTTCTCTGTCCTGTATTATTAATTGTTAAATATCATTATAGATCAGGCAGCCCTGACGTATCAATGACAGCTCGTTACGCAACAAATAGCACTCGTGACGCGATGACGCAATGTGACGTCGCACTGCCCTTATATTAGCAATAGTAAGGGCTGCAGTTGTCACGTTAATTTACTTTATATAAATTAAAGAAAGCCTAATAATTAAAATAATGAAGTTATATTTTTGATTTAAGTCCCACCTCGTGGTGCGACCGCCCGTGAGACGGTGGACTTTTTAAAGAATTTTTCATAAAAATATTTTAGTATACCATTGCGAATTGATCAAATATTAACTTATGTTTAAAGTTATGTTTTCTTAACATTTGTTAATCACGTAGCTATATAAGTTTTATAAAATAAGTACAAATATAATGCAAGTGTTTCGACAACACACTCACAAGTAATAGTTTGTTTATAGTAATTGATATAATATAATATACAATGTAGAATTTTGTCTAGAATTATATGCCATGACAAGATGGCCAGAGATTGTACTGCGATGTGACTTTGAAATATTGTGGCGGTGTTATATAGGTACATCATTATATGGGATTAGGCCACCCCAACCCTTTGACCCCAACTTTGAGCTTTTTGTAATAGTATGCAAAGGGTGGCGGTTCAAAAGTTTGCTTTAGAAAAGACAATTTATTTTTACTTAATTGAAAAATTAATACCTTACGTTAAATTTTTAGTGAATAATTCATTATTAATATTCTTGGTACACTTAGTACTCACTACTGTGCGGTTATTATTTATTTTATTGTATAAGTTAGTCCAAGCCTTGAACTTCGTTTAAAATAACTATCAAAGGGGTTTAACTGAATATTATAGAATATGAAACGAACTTCCAAGGGGAAGTTTGATAACTATTATATTATATTAGCTTTATGGGTTGAGGGGATGACGGGTTAAATAATATCCGAATTTATTATAATAACACAAAGTGAAGCTTTGCAAATGTTGCTGAAATTATACTTCACTCTACTTCAAATAGTCTGCTGCTTTTTTTGTCTCTTCTTTAATGTCTAAAGGAAGATCGGGACTTAGTAGTTAATTTTTTTTATGTTTTATTGCAGGCGTTCCAGTTTTAAAAAATGATTAAATCGCCTCGTCTGTGAGAGGTGGTATATCAAACACCGCGTGTTACATTTTTCATATTTTTAATTTAGCGTGTCCCCGGGCTGCGACCCCGGGCGTATTACGGTCACGTCCTCGCCGCTGTTCCGACCGACGTGGTTGGATTTTCGGTCAATTTCTAACGTTGAGAAGAAAATTTCAAACTGTGATTTATGTGAATCGATTAGTTATTTGTATGCCTATATATAGAACGTCATACATATAAGAAGATGATACATACTAAGCTTAGATCAATAGACTTGAGCAAGGTTCAAGTCTCCCGTACATAGTGTATATGTGTCCATACGGAGGTGGTGCTCTACATGTGTATCATTTAACCAACTCAAACAAGTAAATAAGTTATAAAAATAAATATATGAAATCTACTAAGATTAATACTTTTCCACGAATGACAAATTCAAATGATAAGTCTTGTATACCCAGTCTCCCCTTAGTTACAACAAGAACACCTACCCTACTACCCAAGTTACCCCTTAGTACAACTCGTTTTAGTGCCTGAATACACAATTTCAATTACATTTCAGTTATTAATTTTCTATTTCGATTGTGTATATATATAGGTCATTAGTTATTAATGACGTTAAACTATGAGTGAAAAAAAAAATCTGTCACTCAAACACACACTTTTGAAAGAAAATTAAGTTACAATTTATTAGATTGTTCGGAGTATGTAAATTATTAATCCTAAGTAAAATGGGAAAATATGAAAGTTGAACAACGTATGCAAGCGAAAGATTCATATTGAAAATCTGTGAAACCATTCACATCACTAAAATAGGACAAGATGGCGGTATATAGTTCACGAGAGAGTTATTCAAAAAAGTCACGAACCTCGGCATTGGGGATATACGAAGCGAACAGGACGGATTGCGTATAGCGATATACGATATCGTCGTCATATTTTATGATACAGTTGTTTTAAAAGAGAATCGTGGCATGTTCCAAAAACAGATAATATAAAAAAATCGATTATTAAAAAAAAATAAGATCGAGCGCAAATAGGTTGTTGGTTTTTTTTAATAGAAATATAAATCCTTGTCGATGCCTCCAATGTTTCGTTCTAAAATATTTGAATGATTAGTTAATTAATAAATATAAATCATGTCTTATCGGAACGATATTTTGAGACAATAGCCGGTCATAATCAAATTGTTATGCCCTTTTTCAAATAAATTTTCATGTAAAAGGCGGATCATTTATCGCTTTATTATTGTGTATGATGAATACAATAGTCCCCCTGTTAGGTTATGGTAATAAGTTTTTATAATGTAGGTATAAGATAGCGGGCAGCGCATCTGCATTTCCACCGCAGCATTACGTAAACATTACATTGATTTTGTGCTTTGTGTGTCAGTAGTTAGGGCGACATCTCATTTGTATATATGCACCTTAACGTATTTATAGTTATTAAGTCCCTACTAATATTATAAATACGAATGTAACTCTGTCTGTATGTTATCCTTTCACCCATGAACCATTGAACTGATTTTAATGAAATTTGGTACAGAGATAGAGTTCACCTAGGGACAGGACATAGGTTGGCTTTTAGCGTGAAAGTAAAATATATAGGGAATGAAAGTATGTATGGAATTTTGTCACTATTAAAAACAAAACCATATTAAGTGTTTTTGAATTTCAACTTGCATATGGATAAAATGAAAATTGAATTAGTTTATTCAGTATTAAAGGCTTTCGAGAGCCGAGGAAGTGCCGATAATGAAAATTGTCTTAAAGCGCAGTCTTTAAGTCTATACTATTTCAGGCGATTGTTCTACATACTGACTTTAGGTGCGGATAAAATCACAGCTACTGAGGCTGTCCACCAATAACCTGCTAACTATTCCTAGTAAAAAGCTTTTGCATTTTCGTTTTAAATAAAACGAGATAAAGTCTATTTCTGCCAGTTTTTATTTGTTTATGTGGAGGATTAATATGGCTTTCTGAGACAGAGAAGATACTTCATCCGAGAAGCTTACTTTATTTTTATTTCTTGGAGCTTGGATTTATTTAAGTTTGAGAGTGTTTTCGAGTTTGAATAAATTTAAAAATTTATTTTATTATTAAATAAAATATCCATGTGCGATGTTTCTGTATTAATTCTCGCCATCAGTTTTAAGATAAAGAATTAAAGAGACGTCCTCAGGAAAAAGGTAACACGAGCACGTTAGCGCGCTTAATTCGTAATTTTTTGTTTGTTTTTTAAACTCATATCTTCACCATTAAATTCCACTCATACTATAGCTATACCTAGTAATTTCGTGATATGTTATTTCCAACTTTTCGAACTAGATCCTAACCCACTTACATCAAACTCAACCCAAATTGCATTATAAACAATAAAAATATTAGATTGTTAGAATCTCTTTTTTTTGTATTTTACAGCAGCTATTTCTTAAATATAAAATATATTAAAGAAACAGTTGCTGTTCCATTTTGTTCAATCCCCTTAAAATATATGGATATCTATGGATTCATTAGTTGAATAAATTTATAATACAGTACGATCTTATCATATTCAGAATTTTAGAGCACCATCGTTAATAAATGTTTTTTTATAAAAAATATAAAGTAAATAAATAAAAAAACTCACCAGGAACTTCACGTGAACCATATTTAACGTTCGGCGTCCGCTAGCTCTGTGAACATAGCACATTTTCCATTACACTTTTTATATACGATATCCAGATAAATATCCAATAACGTTAAATAAAATTAATTCACTGCTAACAAACGACATTGCGGTTTAATAATATTCTGAAAACATAAGTACGTCGGGATTTCCTTGTAATTCCATCACGACTACAAATTATGTCTACATTGTATTAAATTTAATAATAATAATAGTATATTATTTACACGGACTCTGTAATGTATGTGTAATTTTTTTTAATTTGAAATGTTCTCAAACACATAATACAAGTCTCAGATCCACAGAGGATGGTTAAGAAAAAAGAAATGCACAGAAAAAAAAAATTTGGCGCGCGAATTTAGAGTTTGACGTACCGTGAGTTGCTAAGAAAAAAAGAATAAAGTGTTTGCGTGCCAGCGACGTCGCTACTGCGGCTAGAATCGCAAGCACATCTTCTCTTTATATGTAAGCCCCTCTCTCGCGCATCGCTTAATACATCTTTTGTTACCCATTTCAATATAAAATAATATTCTCTAATTGGGTTATAAAAAGCTTTACAGTACATTCGCGCAGTTATTGCTACAGTTTCCATTCAATTTGATAGTTTTTTGAGGTGACTTAATTTTGTATCCATTCTGCGTTATATACTCGTATGTTTATAGTCGCCTGAGAATGAGACTAACCAAATTAATAATTAGATATACTTTACAATGAAGTCTGTTCCCATCTTATTCGGTGACTCAATTTACAGGAAAACAAAATGAATTATTTATTGGGTTTTTACTGAATACCTAATAAGAATAGATGAATACAAGATGGTTTTACCTCTTTTCTTATATTCTTTCTTTTTGTTCGTTTTGATTGATTGTTTTTTTCTAACTTTTACATTTTTGGGATATCCAAACAGAATGGGTTATTCGATACACCTGGAAAAGCTTTCTGCCTTGTTATTCTGTAAAAAAACCAGTCCCGAACTCGACGACAAACAGCGCTGTCACAGAATAAAGTAAACTTTTATTACGTTTTTAAGTTTTATTAAATTGAACCCCTATGATGTGATAGAGCGCTCAGTGTGCTCGTAAGATCGTAAGTTTTTTACAGTATAACAGTGCAGGTTTAAAACCGTACAATGACAATGGAAAATCATGAATACCCTTATAATTTTACTGCTTCGTTTATAACAACGGCTTCACGAACTAATTTAAATAACTAGCTTTAGCCCGCGACTTCGTCCGCGTGGTGAAGTTACTTTGAGCAGCATTTCTAACGAATATTTATTTATTAATACGTGTAAAATACCTGAAATAAAGTTTCATCCCCTATTTTATCCCCTTAAGAGTATAATTGATCAAAATCCTTCACTGGCGTATGCCTACGTCATAAAATCTACCTGCATGCCAAATTTCAGCCCGATCCGTCCAGTGGTTTAGGCTGTGCGCTGATGGGTCAGTCAGTCACCTTTGAGTTATATCAATCTCAATCTCAAAACAATTCGTTCATGCAGATGACACAAAGATATTAATTTATTAGATAAATACATTAATTATTCTAGAGCTGAAACGTTTGGGCATTATAGTTAAAGCATACTACACATTGAGTGATAGTGAGAGCCAGCTAAGGTCAAGTTAAATTAAATTAGCTTACCGTCCTCAATTCACGCGCAGTTCCTCTCGACCAATGTAACTGAGTCACTAGACAGGTTTCCACTGATCATCGCCGCGTGTTTCTATATTTCAGTGATCGTATGGATACCCATTTTTAAATGTTTTATTCTTTTTCTTCTGCTTGCGTTCAGGCAACTTGATGTTATCGTTTATTTTAAAATTTAAAACTGCTTGGATCCGTGGAAGGGCCCGTATAAGTATAAGTAAAATTTTATTATCTGTAATCAGTTTTACATTTATTATTGAGCATACATACGTATATAGGTATTAGTCGCAGTAAAGGATTTTTCCAACAATAGCCTTTAATTAATTACGAGTATAGTAATTATTATGTAACAAATTATTTACTTATATTTTCCAACTTTTTAATGACACGCTTTCAGAGCACCTAGGCAAATCGACACGGTATCGAGGTTTCAATCCCTCTATTTGAACTGTTTCTAATAATACTATAGAGTATTCTTTTTAATTCTGATAAAGAATCTCTATAATTTACGTTTTATATGGTTTCAAAATAAAATACATATCAGATATCTTCGAGAAATAAAACATAAATCAAGGTCCTTAAATTTCCCGCGACCAACTTAATAATTAAAATATTATCAAGTTGGTCGCGGCAAATTAATTCTTAGAATATGTATATAAGTAGGTATTTAGATATATTTATTTATGTTTTTATTTATGTAGGTATATACCTACTTGTTATTTTAATATCAAATTGCATAGTTCGATTTTCTGTATTATTCAACATGCCTATCAGATGAATAATGATTATGTTTGAAGGCTCATCATGAACGTGGCTGGCAGTGGGGGGCACGTTATTGGGTAGGTTAACGACATATTTATCCTTCGATGGATGTTGCGCCAGTTCAGAGAAGGTGCTAATCTAACACGTGTGACCACGCGCGCCGCCTGTGAACACCACGCACGTTCCACCAACTCCAGGCCCGTCTTAAACCCGCCGCCATTACAGGGAAAAGATTTGAATTTATTTTACATATATTTATATTAAAAAAAAACAAAAAAAATATAGATATTTCAAGACTCGTTGTTCAACGTCAGCGGTTGAGAAATATAAAAATAATTGAAATAAAATTACCACTTAGAGCGCATTACCGAAGTCATCGATCAGTAGGTACTACAAGAGTAGACCATCATCGGCACGGCGCCCGGGTGCATTGCACCGCCTGCACCATGGGTAAAGTCGGGCCTGGTGTAATGACGTTAAGTTCCATGAAATATTCAAATATTCAGCGCTCGACAGGCGCCCCCGGGTGCACCGCACCCCTTGCACCCCCGGGTATAGACGGCCCTGACCAACAAAGCTCCTCACTTTCCTGTACGGTAATCAGGTTACGTTTATTATTATTTTTTTATTTGAGCATTCGTCTAGCCCTCAACTGGTAACAATTAAGGTATTGTAAGAAAGTCTAACACTTGCAACTAAGAACCAAATTAATTCAAATAAAATTAGTCTTAATTGAAAGGGTTGTATTCTATAAGTGAAAATACAGATTTTTGTTATATGTTCGGAAAGTTGTAACATTTTAACTTATAAATATAATAAATAAATTTTATGAGACTACTTAGGAAAATATTATGCTTTGAAAACTTTAAAAAAGTTGAGAAAATATACTATAAAAATTAGCTTATATACATATGGCATTAAATTAGTTACATAAAACGTAAGAACTTTCATCATAACAGCTATAAGCTAACATAAACGCACAAACGATATTACAAAGATTGCCCAGAGGTCTATACGTTTTTCGCGATCGTAGCATTGTGTGACGTCACTAAGTAGTTTGTAGGGAGCGTTTTCGGTCGACTATCAGCAGTTCCACCAACAGCACCGTATATCTGAAACTATTAATCGCACACATGATGTTACTTTTACATTACTTCTGACATATTAATGGACTATTTATTTATAAAATAAAAAAAAGGTGTCATCTCGTATCGTAAAAATGAGCCAGCTATGGGTATCCAAAGTCGGCAATAAATGACAAAATTGTACTACGACCTTTGTAATACAACCTTTGTTAAATAGAGTAAATTTAAATATATATAACTCAAAGGTGACTGACTGACATAGTGATCTTTCAGCGCACAGCCCAAACCACTGGATGGATCGGGCTGAAATGTGGCATGCCGGTAGATGTTATGACGTAGGCATCCGCTAAGAAGGGATTTTGATCAATTCTACCCCCAAGGGGATAAAATAGGGGATGAAAGTTTGTATGAAACTTTGTCAATTTTAAACCGATTCGGCTCAGACTTTGCATGCATAAAGCTACTTTGAGGTAGGCATACCCTAAGAAAAGATTTTGATCAATTAAACTTTATTTTAGGTATTTCACACGATATAATGAAAAAATATTCGTTAGAAATGCTGCTCAAAGTAACTTTACCACGCGGACGAAATCGCGGGCAAAAGCTAGTGTCGGTATATACTTCATTTGGTATATTTTTTAAGAAAGTAATTAATTTCCATCAGAATACTTCGTAGTTCTACGTGAATAACTTACATATTCTAATTAAAAATGCTTATTAATTCGCCTGTTCCAGCGTGTCTGGGACTCTGGGACAGGTTTGGAATTGTGCACGCAATAAGATGTTATTTATTTTATTGTTGTTATTATAATTATTAATTATTTATATATTAAATTGTGTAGCTCAGTGGCGTAGTGGATAAGCGTCGCGGCCCGTGATTGTTGTTGTTAAGCAACTTTCGTAAGGGTCGGTCATGGGATTGGTGACTAAGATATTATTATCTCGAGCTATTCCGTGCTTAGGAAGTCAGGCAAAGCCATAGGTCCGGGCTGCATTTGCAGTTGTCAATACGCTTCAATATAATTTGGTAAAGAGCATATGCTTTCGGCGTTATATAATTACAGTGAGTTTCGGTTAGCAATATAGGTCAAAGTGTATGAATAAAAGTAATTTATTAATTGAACTCGTCAAATAGACATTGGTTATACATAGGAAGAAATATTAGTTAGAACTAGATTCTTTTATCTAACAACAATGTTCCGCGGGGCTAACGATGTACAACAGATGTCTAATAACCTATATAGAGGTAGACTAAAGCAATGAGTTTTTATTTGACAAATATTTTGCCTGGAAGATACTGTTATGTTGGAATAAGGCCGCCTTTTTATATTATGTTTGTCTCATGCTGTGTATATTGACACTTTTCCTTATTATTTTATATTATAAGAGGACTTTTTTCATTATAATACTAATGAACCAGATTGCGGGGTCATGACTGAATATCCCTTTACGTTTTATGACATTGACCTGGTTCCCACGGTAACCCTTACCAAAATTGTTTATCATGTGCATCGTAGCTTATCTCTGCTATATAAACAGACGTTTGCAGTGTCGTCGACTCAAATTTCAAACTTTAAAGAAATCTCATTTGCGAATGCAAACAAATTAAAGTCTCTTTATCAACTTATAATGAAATAGTAATGGCGCTTGTAGTAAGTAAGTACCTAGTCTTTATTGAAGAAAAATGAAAGTAAAGAAATTATTATACAAATATTGTACAAGAGGCGGCTTTTAATAATAGTTGTTTGTAAAGATTATGAGCTGTAGAGGTGCCGATGATTTTTTAAATCTGGATCCAGACTAAAATTATTCCTAGTTTTTTCATCCATAAGTACAGCACTAATTATATAGTTAGAAGATTAATATATATATTCCCAAGGCCTATGATAATTTGTCGGCAAATTATCTTTATTAGAATAATATCCGTATGTATAA